AGGACCGAGCAAGAGCAAAGTGGTTTCAACCAGATTTCTGGATCATACAAATAATGACAGGTCACGGAAATTTCAATGCTTATCTGCACCGATTCCATACATCTAACAGTCCAGTGTTTCCTGACTGCGGAGTTGATGACAGTGTCCAACACAGACTATTCAACTGCCCGCTCCTTGAGAGTGTGAGGGAACCACTAAAGCTCCTCATCCGCCACACTTGGCCACCGACCCTCAACGAACTGGCAAAAGAAAAGAGGACGTTTGAGGTCCTCAAGCCTGTTAGCCGAGCTATAGTGGATAAAGTATCTGACTAGTTTTTTCTTTCTTTCTTTTTTCTTCTTTTTCTTCCTATGATAAGTTACTTGTTAGATCTTAGCGTTTCCCTGAACTTTTAAATCCGGGCTGGTTACTCCTTGTACCCATAATTGTTATTTATTTATTAAAATATTGTATTTATTAGAAAGTGTATTCAAAAGGATTAACGAGCAAGGGAGAGACCTATTAGATTAGACAAATTTATAATCAGAAAAATATTTCCCTTCTTCCTTGGGTCTTCCCTTTCAGGGAAAGGTCGATGGAAGACGTTAAGCACAATAAGATCTCCTAAACTTGCATCCCATTTGAATTAGTTTAGTGGCTGTGGTCCGCCGGTATGGGGTCTCCCTTAGGTACGGCGGGGAGGTGGTTGGGGGAAAAAAAGTATATATACGTTGGAGTTTGAAGGGGTGGGGAAGGAAGTCGGGATAGAAAGACATATTTATATGAGGAGTCGGCTTCTTTGAGGTGAAAGAAGCCGACAATGGGAAAAAACGTGGGGAATGGTTCGGCCTGATTACCTTTCAGGATTACACAGACGGGGATAATTAGGGAAAGTAAAGCCAAATTGTTGAAGAATTAGACTATGTAGAAATGTTTGATGTACGAAATGTGATGATTGTTTTATATGTTATAAGTTTTGTGTGATATATTTATATTATCGACATTGATGTTATTGATATTAACATTGTATAAATTCATTCTTTTTTTTAATCTAAAATTTTCTAGCATTGTACAAATTCATAATTTTTTTCCACATCCTACATGTATTTGTAAAAGTCAAACATTGTTTATAAATCCCAGGCCCTGAAGATGATCTCAATAAAGATCGAAACGTTGGCATGAAGAAAATGTATGACGTAGGTTTTAGGCAAATATTTTCTTTATCGTGCCAACGTTTCGATCTTTATTGGGATCCTCTTCAGGGCCTGGGATTTTTAAACAATGTTTGACTTTTTGACTGAAATTTTAGATAAAAAAAGCATTGTAAATTTTTTTTAATTTAAAATTTTCTAGCATTGTATAAATTCATAATTTTTTCACACATCCTACATGTTCAAACAACATCATTTAAACAATGCTTATAAATCTTAGGCCCTGAAGGTGATCTCAATAAAGATCGAAACGTTGGCACGATAAAGAAAATATTTGTCTAAAACCTACATTACACCAGACCGCATCTCACGATGTCCGAATAATCATTGACTAACGGCCCTAAACACCAAGCAAAAATAATTGTAATATCAAACTTTTATCACATAAAAAAAAATCATCCTAAGTGCACAGACTTAGGGGGGTAGATACATAATACTTTCTTATAGTCGACTACACAAATGCTTATACACAAATTTTAATTATATGTTTTCAAAAGATGTGAATGTCAGCTTACAAGTGTGATTAGCTGAAAAGCTGACATTAATTAAAATAAAAAGTGACCTGAGATTTACACGATTTGGCCTGTTTTTACCGGACATAGTTACCTAACGTCAATTCTTGAAAGCGTTAAACATTTGTCGAATTCGAAATGGTGTTTACTCATGATAATGCAGTGCACATTTAAAGTTTTTGAACTTGCTTTTGAAGGAAATGTGATTAAATGCGGTTGCTAAAGCTATTAACGGGGGGGGGAGGTGTAATGGCGTTAAACTCAAACATTGCTTTGATGTAGGGTGTCTACTCTATTAAGTGCTCATCACAGGAAACAATTCCTCTCTGTAATTATTGGAGATATTTTGTTTTGGCTATTTAGGCAATTCAGACATGCACTACATATAGAGGCTGATTGGTATTCAGAAAGGGAACAAGGAGAGTAATGAAAACATGCTACTTTCATTTATTATTCATAACAAATTAGAAATTTACCAGTTACAGACGTTTGTAAAAACAAGTGTTTTAATGAAAATATTGTTCCATACAGACGTTCTGTTTTAATCGTTCTAAAATAAAAGCAAATAGAAAATGCATTCAGAATTAATAAAAGATTTAATTTTTTATCTCCATTATTGATTAAAACTCTTTTTTAATTTATTTGTTACCTGCACTTGATCGTATATTTTACAAATATGTACAAATGATTAATGTATACACTATCACTATTATCAGCACTGCACCGGTAGATCACATGCTTTGAGGATCCAGCCGTTGCTGGCACTCAATTTTTATGATTAGTGTCTAGGTGGTCTCGAGGAGGGTTGTCAGGATGGGAAGAGTGGAGAGGGCTCGAGCAGTATGGTTAGGATGGTGTGGAAGGTTTGGAATCTGGACCTGATCAGTGGCACTGATTAAGTGCACAACCACCCCCTCGGAAGGGGCAATCGGAAGAAGTGGACATGTCGGCAGCATGCTGCGGGATGATGTGGGCTTCTACACCGAACCACACGGAAGAAGCAAATTTTCCGTGCGCGGAGGTTAGCCGCTCCTAACTTGAGAATCTAAACGTGTGATAAGGCTTGACGGCTAGGTGTGCACTCTAAAGAACCTCAACGTTAATATAAGACATTACGACCCCAGTGGGACCGGATCAGTTCGTTGACAAAAGGAATGTTGAGGTCTTTGTGGATAGTGAGATTAGTTACATAATAAGGTGCTTTGAAAATTTTCCTCAAGGGCTTTCGATTGGAAGGACTGGATGCACTGGAAATTGTAAGGTTGGCAGTACTCCACATTTCTACTCCGTATGTCCGGTCGTCTTTAGCTTTGTCTTAATTTTCAAAGTCGATTTCGGTCTTAGAAGTCTTCGCAGTAGTCCAAGTGTTCTACTAAGTTTTTTTAAGACTTGTGTGGGGATTTCACATCAGTCTGTTGTCGAGATATAGTCCCAGGTATTTGATTTGAATGGAAACTGGTATCTCTTTGTTGTTGGTGTACAATGGAGGGGAAGTCTGATTTTTCAGCGTAAAAGTACACTTAAGTTCATTTTTCTTCGTTCAGTCTTGCCCTCCATTTTTTACACCAGTCTTCCATAAGCTGAAGGTGTTCCTGGATGTTGGAGGTAGCTTGGACAGCATTCGAGTTAGAGGATATGATTGCGGTGTCGTCCGCTTAGGTGGTGATTGTAGAGTCAGGATGTTTTCGTGGGTCAGCAGTATAAATGATATATAGGATACTCCCTGGCGATACACCGGCCTGTATCTGTTTAACTTCCGAGAATTTCATTGCCGCACCTCACACTGAAAAAGCGATCAGTTAAGTAGGATTTCAATAAAAGGTAATAATGAGAGGGTAGGAAGCGCTTAAGTTTAAAAACTATCCTGTCGAAAGCCTGTGCTACGTCTAAGAACGCGCCCAGGCAATATACCAATTAAAGGTCTTGGTCTTTATTACTTTTAATAAATTAACTAACCTGTTTTTAGTTAACTTAAAAAATATTATATTTCATATTAAAATATTATATTCATTCTTATTTTGCATCATGTGAAGGATCAAATAAAATCCAGTCGATTTTTCTTGACGGAACGATCGTTTTACGTCCAGTATTCTGCGAGGCTCCTCAAGGTTCTGTCCTCACACCCTTGATTTTCAACATTTACATAAGCGACTTCCGTGCAATTTTGATTCCCTATTTTTATTATTATTAGTGTTAAGGAATAAATAGTTTTTTTGAGCTTTATCAAAAGCTTGTTTTTTGTTGATCAGTTTTTCGTATGGTCGTTTCCAACGCCGGGTATGGTGTGATTGACTTACATAGTTTAAGGTCAAGGTATGTTTTTCGTATTTTATCGATGTTTGTGATAGTAGACTAGTATAAATACAACTAAGATTGTTTTATTAGTAGCTTGCAGTAGTAGAAAATCAGATTTTTTTAATCGTTAAAGGTCATTAGCAAATGTAATTGATTTCTAGGCGAAAAGTTACAGCTGAAAAGATCAAAACAGCGCATTGTTCCAAAAGGACATCATTATGTAAATGCAATTTTTATTTCGTATCGACAAGACCCAATATCTTTCACTGGCCGATTTACAAAACCGACAAGTTTACTAAAGGAAGAAATTGAGTTATTCCCTGTTTGTAACTTACCCTCTTCCAATTACCTCCAACCCAATGACCCACTTACCAACAAAAATATTTCCACGTTGTGAAAAGTATAATAAATAAAAGAATGGTTGATTTAAAAAAACGATTGGAAGGTACAGAGGTAAACCATTTTTGATGAGGGGTATTTGAAAAAATTTTGCGGGTGTAATTTTTAACTTTTCACCTTTTTACTCCTTGTTCATTTCATTTTGTTGAAAAGTTAAAAATTACACATTTACACATACAATATATATATATATATATATATATATATATATATATATATAATTGATGTTAGCCATTCGTTTTGATTGTAAATTTTAGTGATTTTAGCTAATTGGGGTTTGCACAGTAAAACCTAGCATGTTTTTAAATTATTTTTTAAAGTTTAAATAACAGACCTATCTTGATTATCCAGAATTTTTCAAATATAAATAACAATTTCCATAAAAGCGATGTGCTACGAATCTAAATTTTATTCCTGCCCATAACTTTTAATGCCCATCGACAAAATCCTTTAATTTTCCTTTCCAATTTTGATCTTATCCATTTCTAAAACAAATATGTAGATAATTCGAATAAATAAATAATTAAGAGCAAAAACAGCGTGAACGGGGGTGGGAGGTTGTCGGTCATTGAGGGGGCGAGGATAGCCTCAGTGCACCCTCAGTGTTCTACGGGCCCGGATCTGTGCTTCGCTCTTCCCGTTTTCATGTGTTCTGTGCTCCAATGATCAACAGCCAGAGATCGTCATGTCGCATCCTCGTCACCTCCCTCCTCCTCTTCTTCATCATTATGTCAAACGGTGAGAAAGGTTCAAAAAATATTATCGTAAAATTGAATTTTTTAAAATAAAGATTTACGCAAATAGTAGCCCATTTTATTATAAATAATTAATAGCTTTTAATAATTGTGATTTTATTACAACCTAAAACATTGATCGAGACATTTTGTAATGAAAAAATATTTATTTGTACTTTAAACATTATTAAAAACAAGACAAAAACATTAGTTCTAATCTGCTCCATATTTTGTTATTGACTATTTTAAAGTAAATAACTTTTACATTGAGATTTTAAGTTAACAAAATAAAGTTACTGATTAATAATATATTATCAAAAACAATGGTTTCTCATTTCTCTGCTTAGTTAATTTTTTTTTACCCAAATCTTTATTTTGAGCAAATATGATGATGGCACTAGTAATGTAAATTAAAAATGAAATGACTTCTGACGTTTTGCCTGGATAAAATTTGATAAAAATTACATAATGACGTTATGATCATTAAGTTTGATTTCCATTTGAGAGAAATACATTAAGTCATTGTGTTTAATAGGATAACTGACTTGTAAAGTACAAATTGTACCAACTTAGAACCTAGTCAATAAGACAAGATAGTTAATTTAAAGTTAGTCATAACGACTGGCTTATTTGAGAAAGCAGGAAATACATTTTGAAGATTTTGATCATTTAGTTAAATAATACCTAATACATTTGTAATACCTATATTGTAGTATTATAAAAAAATTAGGATATTCTAAAAATAATTACGTTTTACTAAAATTTATTTGATAAAGTTTCCTAAATTGCTAACCTGCAACTTTTTTCGCCACTGCGGTGGCTTGAATGCAATAAGTTCGCAATGAACTTGGAAATGATTTCAATTTGTGAAACGATGAATGCTGGAAATTACGTGTAAACAAAAATATAACGTATTGTCTAATTAGTCAAATGTTTTGCTTACTGGCCAAAACGTTTGAACAAATATTCCAGACGATGGTATAAACACACAGATATATGCAGGGTGAGTTTAACATCTATTCCCTGTTGTTTTAATCGAAAAAAACCTCAAGACACGTCAACTTTTATTTGTATAGTTTCGCATGAGTAAAAAGGTTTTGAACTAACTTTCCAGGTTAGCTGGTTACGAATAGGAATTTAACTGCTTCAAATGGCGAAATACTTATCAATGTATAATTTGTGAAAGGGTTTTTAACATTAAATTCAATGGTGCAGATGGTTTTTAATTTGAACCAATGTATTAAAGTTTTCACAAAAATTACTTCTAAACATTGCCTCTTGAAAAAAGTGAATCCCTAATTTTTTCACCTAACAACCAATTTATTTTTTATTTTAATTGATAGTAAATTAATTGTTTTACATAATTCAAAACTATCATGGAGAGTTAGAGTTAAACATTTTTGGCTTACGAGAAACTAGACGAAAGCAAACTTTCCTTGCTATGTAACCAAAGAGTATAAGTGTATTTCATTTCATTGTACCATTTTAAAATAATTCCATTACAAATACGAACTAAAATTTAATTGCTTGAACACCTAAATATTTAAGATTGGAGAAAGTTAGTGAACTAAAACGTAAAGTGGCTTGGAAATGTCGGTAGTTCTTAGGGTTTGAAATTCATTTGCAAGTAACTTCTTTAAATATATTTATTCATAATCTATTTTCTGTTTCAAACTGTGAAAATTATAATACGAGTGCATATATTTGATTTCATATTATTTTTCTTTCACAAATAGACAACCCATCAGACCCATGAGTTAGCGTACTAACAATTTGTTGCAATGAACAATTAATAATAATAATTATTATAATAAAATATTAGTAATTATTCTTGCTGGCATCAATATTTTCAACCGCATGAAGATATTTAGCAAACATTGTTAAATATAATAAACAAAAACTAAATGTTAAACTAAATTTAAAATTTTTTAGGATGTTAGCTTGTTTCGTTATTGAATTAGAACCTGAAGTACTGCTTATTCTTTAATGTACACCACCTGACAATTTAAATTTTCTGGAAAATTCGTATCCCAATATACAAAAAATACAGACACCTTAGCATAAAGTTAGCAAATATATTCTTACTCGTGGAAGAATATCACGCTATTTTTTGAACACAGATAATACTGAGCTAAAAAATATTTTACCCATGTTTTTAGACGCTCAGCTAAGAAATATTTAACGCAGAAGAAGAGAATGCTTGTCCTTATCTTAATTACTGGAGATTCTAAGTTTTGTCGTCTTGGGGAAACTGATGCCGTTTTATCTCGACAGTTCCGCTTTTAATATTCAACATCCAAACAAAATTCTTGTTACAAATTTTATGCTCGATTTGGGAATATAGTTGAGCCAATGTTTTCGTTTTTACATTTTAATTAGTTTCGTCTTTTTTAAACAAACTTTCATTGATTAATTTTAAATTTATATGTTGGGAAAAAAATTTTTTCGATTGTATCAACTGAAAATCGTATTTCGAGTAAAATGTTTATCAATATATATTACAATTCGTTACATTAAACACATTAATTTTCCAATTTTTTGTAAGGATTTAGAAGTGTCTGGAAAATCTAATTTCTTCCTTCTCCCCAAATGGTCGTTATGAATTGTAAACAGCATTTATCTCTACTAATCCATTTTAATCTTCTTTTGGATTAATGTGCTGTCTTTCTTTTTACTCTGATGGAAGATTTAGAATCTTGTTCATTTTGATTCAGTTGTTCGTGAGTAAACTTTCCCTGAAATACTGAGCTACCAAAAGCTTAAAAACAATATTGTTAATTTTTCATTGTGCTAGCATAAAAAAATGTAATATACAAAAATTATTCAAACCACCTTACACATCTGTCAGAATAATAAACTTATTTATACGTAGCACATATCAAGCTTCACTCTACACATTTAAAAAATACGTGCAACCATATAAGGGATACTACAAAATAAGACTATTTGTTGTTTTGGATGTTTCTTCTCCTACAACAATGATGTAAAGGTGACCAGCTGTTATTCAACAATCCTATTCTCGATACATTATTTATTGTTATTTATTATTCTTATTCAATATATCCGATCCTACCAAATATATTGACCTGCTACAAGTTAGGAGTGGGTGATAAAATCTTCTTTAGAGGTCATATGGATACATAACAACAAAACTATTTGTATTTTGATTTGATAAATATAATAAATATACCTTTAAAACAACATTTTTAACGCCGATGAAACAATGTAGAAAGATAATTATTTCCATAGAAAAAATATTATGGGATTACATAAAAATGTCGAAACATAAAAAATTGAAAAATGTTATCATAAATCTCGTATCTGTTAGCAATCAATGCCTGTGGCAGGATTTTCGGCAGTCGGACGTGGACAATGATTTCACACATAGTCAATAAATAATACTGGAAATATATATATATATATATATGTTTTGCCTGGATAAAATTT